ACTGTGCCCATTGTTACAGGGAAAGTCCAGTATTTCTAAATTAACAGAGAAAGTTCCCCTTCAACGGATATTGTCCATTAAATCCAATGAAGTCTGTTAAAACCAGGGGTCTACTACTGTATATTGAGTTCCTGTTGATCAACCCATGATGGAGGATTGTCTGCGCAGCTCCTCCACGGATGTGGGATAGATTGTATTTTCCCGCATAGCTACACTCACAAGGGAACTCAAATTGACTGTGAGGTGGAGCAATTGATTTCTTTTTTCCCCATTTGAGAATCATACTGTTAGGCCAAACTCATTTTAAAATACTGCCAAGGAAGTCATAATCACCAAGAAATCTTCGGCAAAGTTGAAATATGTTTTCATTTAATCCCAATTCAGTTCATCAAGGGTCTGCTTTTCTCATCACTGTGTTGTGTACTGTTTTAGCTTGGTTTCCAACATGTTTAATTTTAAAGTCATTCTTGGGGAATTGTTATCATCAAAAAGAAAGCCAACCTCCGACTAGAATTGGATGGATTCAACTTTGTCTGTTTTGAGCTCCTGTGGTCTCCTAATTAAACCCAGAAGAAATGCTCTAATTTTGGGATGAGTTTCATTGTTATTAATAAGTTACTGAAGTCACACTTTTCTTAGTGATGGTACACAGCCAGAAGCATATTAACTCCTTTATTGCTCCTTCATCATTTTCTCATTAATGACATTTATATAGCGGTGTGATTTATCAGACAATTCCTTGAAACACATTCACCTCTGATATTTACTAAGCAGTAATTAGATCATTGTAGAAATACAACTACTGTTGCAGTGGAGTTTTTCAAGTATTCCAAAAACCTCTCAATTTGACTTGCTTGCCCCAGAAATCTCAACGCATTAGCAAGAATTTCGCCTGCAAACGCCAGCCATTTTTTGGGGGGGCTTCAAAACCGAGCTGCCTATGCCACTCATTCACAAACCACAGCTCTCAAATACATGCCTCTCACATTTCCGCTGCAGCCAGTGAGCTAACTGGGTAACCAGGGTGTTCCCGCCTGGGTACGAGTGCTCACGTACTGTACCTCCCCTGGGCCCCTGGCTGGGGGGGGCAGGCTGCTCTGTTATCTCTCCCTTTTCACAAGAAACAGATGCAAAAGCTTACCCACTTGAAGAATAAATAACGTGAAGTCAAACATTGCACACCTCATGTTCCGAAGCCAGACTCTCACACAGTGACTTCACCAACACATTTGTAAAAAGAAATCTGTGACTCCAGTTACCTGCATTCAAATTCAGACTTCAAACTCGGCTACAGAGAATACAGTGGCATGTTACATAAACATCAAAAGGTAAAAATAATTAATTGAATAACAATAATTGCTTACACTTTTCTGGACACTCCACTCAAAGCGCTTTACAGGTAATGGGGATCCCCTCCACCACCAC